TGGGACAAACATACAGTCATCCTTTTTGAACACCACATGCGCACAACTAATTCAAAGGCCAGAATTACTTAACAATCACGTTTCTTTAAATTTAAACAATGCAAAAGTAATCAGTCCTATTTATAATCCAAAGCAAGGAAGCAAAGTCATTTTTTTCACTTGAAAAAAATATTTCTGAAACGCTCTGATCAAAAGCATATAAACAACTTACTTTTCGGTGTGACAGTTTGTTTAGATATCAATTTTACCATCCCAAACAGAGCAGTAAAAAGCTAAACAACGTTGCCGGCGCACTTTTTACCGTGAAAGTGGTGAAGTAGCGGTGAAGTATTTTTACCTTGGCGCACCGACTTCATGGTTCTCACGGCCGCGTCTTTTACCGCCATGTACCGCATGCAAATGGAACACTATAAAAAGATAAAAGAGACTAAGAGCATCACAACTCATCAGATGTTCATCATGGAAGCTATCCTGGAAAAAGCCCTTCAAGAAGTCAAGCGAGATCTAGTTTAGATCCAGAAATAGTTTGGTGGATTCTACATCCATGGAATCCAAGCGGCCCCTTGTTGGAAAAGTATGCTTGGATAGAATTTGCCTGGCAGGAGTCCATGACAAACATTTGAGGCATTCAAGAGAACTCCTGTTGAAAAAACGGATAGCTGAACAGAATCGTCTGATTGACACCCTATTTCAAGAAATGCACACCTTGCTGGAACAGTAAATCTACAGCTCTTTTTATGAGCTACCAACGGTCCATTAGGAACCACCAACTATGACTAAGGTTAACAACCAAGGAACGGGGGTTCAATTCCCCACCAAGGAGAAATTTCTTATTATAATAATTGGGCAATACAAACAAAATTATTTTAGGTTTGGATGAGACATTTCCTCATCTTCTTCCGATAAGTTATTACCATATTAGTTCCTCCTATTATGAGGATCATCAATCTGTCCTTATCGACTGGTGTTGTGCCCGATGCTCTGAAGGTTGCTATACTATCACCCTCATTGAAACAAAAACTGATGCTGACTTTGAACAGTTCCAAAACTTTCTTCCTATCTCGAACTTAAAAGAAGTATCGAAGCTTTCTGCCATACAACTCACAGATCAAGTCATGGCGCACCACATAGATGAGACGTTTCAGTCAGCATATAAGAACTTTCACTCCACCGAGACAGCTTTACCAAAGGTCCAGGAATGACATCCTGGGTGCTATTGACAACAATGAGTCTGTTACACTTCTTTTATTTGATTTGTCAGCTGCCTTCGACACGGTTGATCACCGTTACCAAGATTGCGTGACCGCTTCGGAGTAAATGGTACTGTAGTTGCATGGTTTGAGTCATACCTGATGTCGTGCAAGCAGTTTGTTCGGGTCAATGACTGTAGGTCAACACAGCGCTCTCTAGAACTCGGCGTACCCCAGGGATCTGTTCTGGCCCTCTTCTTTATCTCCTCTATACATCACCCATTGCTGATATCATCAAGTTCCACAAATTACAGTACCATTTATACGCTGATGATACCCAGCTGTATATATCTTTTAGAACTGACTGTAGCTATGATGCTGTGTAAACTACATTGATTGTTGAATGGTGAACAATGGTCTTAAACTCAATCAGGATAAAACTGACCTTGCTCTCATCAAGTCAAAATTTCGTTGCAGGCCTTCTCTAGAGTTTATCCAAGTGGTTGATGAGAAGATCCGACCCAAACCTCCCCCCCGAAATCCGGGGGTGATAATAGATCAGAGTCTTGATTTAACCGACCATGTTAACAAAATCTGCGTTTCCTGTCAGTATCATTTAAGGAACATAGATCAGGAAGTACTTAAGTGAAAATACCTCTCAAATTTTAATACATGCGTTTATTATAGCTCTAAACTCGATAACTGTAACTCTTTGTTTTATCGTCTTCCTAAACACCTGTTAAACAGGTTACGATTGATACAAAACACTGCTGCACACACTGTTACATTATGTAAGCGGTTTGACCATATCACTACTATCCTGTTCAAACTTCATTGGTTACCGCTTAACTATCGCATACATTTGAAAATTTTACTCTTAGTTTACAAATATCTAAATGGCTTGGCACCACCTTACCTATCTGAACATTTACGCTACACTAATGGTCCAAGATTACTTCGTTCTAGTTCCCAGAATTTTCTAGCCGTGCCTAGGACTAGGTGAAAGACATATGGTGATAGGGCTTTTTCCGCAGCTGCTCCTAGGTTATGGAACCAATTGCTTCCTGAATTCAGGGGTGTTACGTCTGTTGACCAGTTCAGGACGCAGTTAAAGACAAACTTATTTAAATTAGCCTACGATGTTTGATTTTAGTACCTTAATTCAATTTAATTTTATCTTATAATAGTTTTTAACTCTAGTTTCTTTACTATTATTATTAAGTCGTACATAAGCGAGCAGTCCGTTTCTTTAAACCACGATCGATGCTCAGGATTCGGACGCCAATTTAATCCTTCCTCTGTGTTATAAACAGCATCTTGAAACCCATCCAACATATCGCACACTTTGATTTTCCAAACCTTATGTCTACTGTCTAACATTTGGTTCTCTATTTTCAGCCGTTCATTCTCTTCCTTTAGTTTAGCCACTTGGTCAATTAGTAAGGTATAGCGATCATTTCCCTCTACACAATCTGTCCTGAAAAATATTGCTCGCATCAGGACACCTCATAGCGGAAACATTTCCTGTATTACAGCAATGGGGAATATAACTCAATCTGTCTCCATTCACATAATTAAGCTTCATGCATTTCTCCTTTACAATATTCACAGAAAACACAGTTCAATATCTGTTCCATACGTTTCTGCTATACAATACATTCTTTTCTGGCTTCGTTGGCATGTTCTTTCTTTTGCTTCAAGGCTTCTTGTAAGCTCTGGATTGTTTGTTCCTCGATTTTTATACCATCTTGTAAATATTCAACCTTTTTATAAAAACCAGTTGCTTGCATATAATGATAACCACCACCTATAACTCATACTTCTGTACTTCTACTAGGCTGGCTTTTACTGTGAAACTCAGAAAACAGTGAACACCTGAAAAACTTCAGGAATGTTGATTGTGTACTGGCCAATCACAATAAAGTTCAGGATACGCAAGCAACCTCAAAACCACAAACTAACTGCCATTGCTGTTTAATTATCTCGCACTTTATTGGCATTTTTCTCACAACACAATAACATCCATTAATTTTTCTGGTGTTCACGGTTTTGTGAGTTTCACAGTTATCTCTTTAATTTTTAATTTGATTGGTGGATTTCGATCCGTTTTGTGTTTCTGTGTTCCAAGGTTCGTTGCTTGTGATAATTGACAGCAGCGAAAAACGCAATTGTGAAGGTGGCTTTTGAACTTTAGAGTTTGTATGTGAAAAGCGCAGTAGAAATGTTATGTTTTTGTTTTCTTGAAATGCCACACATGTATGAACAGTCACTTCATGATGGCATTCCTTGATTAACACGTGCTTATGCTTCCAGGACCCTCGTCTTAAACATTAGTATGTTTGATTTTAAGCAACGGTTTATCGATGCCTTGTATAGTAGTTCTGGGGGAGGTATGTTATGCTTGGAGACAAAGTCATGTCATCAAGTGTTTGGTTTCTTGCATCAAATTTGAAGGCTGTTGCATGATGATCAGCTGCAAGAGCAGCCACAAGTCTTCAAGGAGGCGAACTTCATCGGGTTCCAGGAAGGAGATTACTGGCTTCTTTCCCCTAAGGTAGAAATGAACAGTTAGATTGCATATTAATATTATTGTATGGAGTTAAAGGGAAATTTGATATGTAGACCAACTAATTATGTTAACAGGGGTTTCAGTAAGCACTGACGTCTGATGAAGAGCGTTGGCTACTTCGATTTGAGTCAGCTACTTTTCCCCTAAATTGAAGTAATAAGTAAAAACCAATTCTCAAGGCCCCTTGTTAATACATCGCCTACTCTACCCCAACTGGCTACCCACCTCTAATTTTGTTAAAACCCCTGAGTACCAATCCCAATAAACAGTGGGCTATCGTAGAGTTTACATTGCAACATTGTAACATGATTGAGGGACACTGCTATTGGTTGCTAACAACCTAGTGCTCAACCCTAACCAACACGTATTATATTTTTAGGAATATGAAATTTGGCAATTTATCGCTTTGTTCTACTTACATGAAACTCAATCGACAATATCCCAGCTTCACCTTGTTGGATTATATATATCCTATATATATAGTCCTTGATTGGTTTGTACTCGCTTCGAACACTTTATTCTTGTGCAGGACCAGCGTTTCTCTGGCCAGTGGGTTTCATGACTATTGCACATGTTCACATATGCTGACCTGGTAACGTGGACCGTCCACACATAATGGCGGATTCCAGTTCAGAGTCGGACTCTGACTCTCCTGTCGTGAAGAAGGCCAAATATGCAGGAGCGGCAAAATACAAAAGAAAGTTAAAAGAAAACTGGATAGTGAAGTACCCTTTTGTTTTTTCTGTCACTTCAGACAAATCTTTATTCCACAGAAATGTTTGCAATCGTACTTTGTCATGTGCCCATCAAAGAGAAGCAGATCTTAAGCGCCATATTGCTAGCGATGGGCACACTGCACTCGCCAAGGAACAGGCAAAACAACCGGCGATCACAAGTTTTCTGAGACAGCCAAACTCCAACATCCAAGAGAAAGTAAGCACCTAGTCTTACCAATGAAATACACATTGTATTAATGCTATTTGTTCGACTTTGTGTTTGGCAAATTGCAAGGCTTCAAATGTTCTTGCCGAATGCCGAGGTGCAGTTAGGTTAATTATACAAGATTTTAGGCTGGAATAAGCTTCACACATACTTTGACATCTGTTTTGAAGTTTAATTTTGTCAACAGATATTTACAACATGAGTAAAATATGAAGTAATTTGGCCTTTGGTTTTATACTCAAGCAAGGATCCTATTGATATTTCAGGTTAGGAGAGCTGAGGAAAAAATAGCAGTGCTGATGGCTGAGAATAATATTCCCCAGGCATTTTCTAACCACCTAAGTCGAATGCTCCCAAAACTATTTCCAGACTCAAAGATAGCACAAAAGTATTCCACTGCAGCTACAAAGACCACATGTGTGATTAATGGAGCAATAGCACCACATTTCTTAAGGGAGACGGTGAATATCATTAAGTGTAGTCCATTCTCCTTATTAACTGACGGCTCAAACGATAGTGGCTTGGAAAAAATGAATCCTTTGACTGTAAAGATTTGTGATGTGAACTCTGGTAGAGTGGAGAGTCGGTTTTTGGACATGTATGCAACCAAGGGAACTGACTCAGCGACGGCAGCATCAATTTTCTAGAAAATCGATGATGTGTTATCACTTCATGGGGCAAATGTGTGGGATTCGGTGTGGAAAATACTACTGTCAACCTTGGTAGCAGAAATTCAATCATGACAAGAGTAAAACAAAGAAGTCCGTCCTGCTACTTCATGGGTTGCCCCTGTCACTTGATACACAATATCACCTGCAAAGCTTCTGAGGCATTTTGTGATACCTCCAAATTTAGCCTGGAAGACAGGTGTGTTGACAATTACTATTATTTTGACAAGAGCACTAAGCGAAAATCACCTTTGGTAGAATTTGCTGATTTTCTAGATGTTGAATACCGTCAAGTCATCAAACATGTGAACACACGTTGGTTAAGCCTGGAACAGCTGTGAGACGGAACTTGCGTATGTATCCAGCGTTGAAGAGCTATTTCCTGTCCAACACAGAGAGTAATCCTAGATTCAAGCACCTGAAACAACAGTTTGCAGACCCTGTACTGTCACACTTTGTAATAATCGTCGCACTTTGTAATACAATTGCCACACTTTGTCATACCTGTCACACTTTGTAATAACACTTGTCGCACTTTGTAATAACAGACCATCGCACTTTGTAGTAAAAAAAGCTGTCGCACTTTGTAATAAACTTGAAATAGATGGTCGGAGGACAAGTAAACCCAGTAATAAGTGTCATCATCGACAACAACAACAACGTCAATAATAAAGATAATAAAGATAATAATAATAATGATTATTATTATAACAATATTATAACGATAATAATAGTTCTTATGTTTTAAGATGACGCTGATGATTGGTTAGGCCGCTCATGAGACGGCCACCACATTAACACAGAATATACTATGCGCTTAATTTCCAACAACTAGGAAAGATGTGATTGTCACAATGACGTAATTTAATGAGTGTAGGTATTGGCAAAATCCAATTCCATTATTTTTCCTTCAAAGTGAAAAAGGTGTCTGCCAAAATCAAGAAGTTGGAAAACACATTAATTATCTAAAAAAAATAGCAGCGATATCATGATGACATCATTCATTGCTAAAGAAGAGTCTGAAACAGTCCGCAGAAATCGAGGCAATCGTCATTGAAAAATTGATCTGTGCTTAAAAAGATGTTTAAAAATCTAAAAAAAAAACAGCCAAAATTCCGAGAGAAATTATCACTGTGAAACTACTGAACCCATCTGCCAGTTGGTAATCTTAAATTCTTTTTTTAACGTCACGGTTAACGACGTTAACCATGGGCCAACATCTTTCCACCAACTGGAGATGCAAAGGAAGTAATTGGTTCTTTGGCGTCTGACTTGCATCGACCGACACTTGTTATCTCTATTTTATCCTACCCAGGGGAGATGTGTACATGTCAGAGCGGCACCCAACGATGGTTTCCCCCTAAATACATTGAAAACACTTGTTAGGTTATCACTTTTAGATCTCTAGAAATGCATTCTAAGCTGGCGTAGCTTATAAGATTTTTTACCTGTGCGGTCATCTTAGGAGAAGTTAAGTTTTTTTCGGAATTACAAGGGCTTCAGTTTCATTTTACCAAGATTTTAGAAGTAATTTGACGTATTACGTAAGTGTAAGTTTTACTAACTCCTCTCTTCTTTCTATCCGAAAATTTTAGGTTTCTTTTTTTTTTCTACGAAAAACAGCCCAGCCTGAGGATTGAAATGCCGAAAAGCTAGACTTAAGAAAAACGTTGGAGATTAATTCGATAAGCTTCGACCCACCACTTGTACACACGACATTCATCAGTCAAAGCCTAGTTGTATAGGTGTTGTCCAGTTTGGCGTTAATTTTCACGCCCAAAAGTCTGGGTGGTACCCTACACTTTTAAAGGCTGATACAATTACATAGTTTTACTGTCAAGATGGCTTTTAAATGTATCGCATTCCTTACAAGTTGCTTTTTGTTAAAATACTGTATTCATGGCGAAAAGGCGTAAGGAAAATATCTTCATCCTTTCAGTGAAGAGGCTTACAAGACTCTCTTGCTGCTGGTACAAAGAAAATTTAACGTGCCCGTAGCAGAACGTACATACGAACAAAAGAATGCCGTCGTGCGTTATTGGCGAAATCATGATCGCTTCCATCTTGGGCCTCAAGCAACCCCAACCCTGTACTTTGATGACAAAAAGGTGGTAAAGAAGTCAGCAATATCGGGTCTTGTCTCAAAAACGTTTGATGACGCAAAGTCTGGTGGATGCAAAAAGCTGCGAAATCGAGCTGCTGCTGGTTTTGTGGGTCTGAGCGAGAGAAATATACTGAGAAAGACAAACAGCAAAATAAAGTATCGCATTCATAACGTCAAGTCTACCAATAAAGCTACGCCAAGACTAGTTGCCCCAAAATCCGTTCAAGCTCAACATCAAGTTGATCTCATGGACTTAAGCAAAGATGCTGTTGAACACGATGGGCGAGTGTACAGATATGTTTTGAGTGTAATGGATGTTTTTAGCCGGTAGTCTTGCATGCGCCCACTGGAAAAGAAAGCAAGTCATCACGTTAGCCAAGTCCTTAACGCAATCTATGCAGAACATGGTCCACCAGATCGCCTTTAAAGCGACCGTGGATCGGAGTTTGAAGGAAAAATTAGACCTCTTTGCAAGGCATTAAAGATAAAATTAATTAAGTCGAGGCCTTGCCACCCGCAGTCTCAGGGAAAGGTAGAGAGATCACATAGACAATTGAGAAAAAAGATTATGTACGACTTGGTAACAGGGGAAGAAGAGAGTTAATGGGGAAGCAAATCTCGATGACTACAATCGGATTTTGAACAACGAATGCAAGGAAGAGCTTGGCTGGAAAACTCCTTTTGAAATCTATTATGGACGGAAATCTAATCTATTAGTGAAGGCATCTCTTGAATGTGTAGATTCGGCTATGATGTAACTACTAGCGCACCAAGAAAACGAGAACTGGCTTCATATAGGAAAAATGTCAAAAAAATAAGGGACAGAGCTAAGCTTTATAGCGCAAAGCTTAACAATCGGATGGTGAGATGGCACAAATGTCTCCACAAAGCTGAAAACTTTAAACTCAAAGACAACGTTTTGATCTGTTACAGACCGCAAAAAGGGGGTAGCCTCCCACCAAAAAAGAGATTTGTGGTGAAAGGCACCGTTATTAAGAAGAGTAAAAAGAATGACATATAGGAAGTAAGATGTGTGCTGCCGAACTCTAACAAACAAATTGAAGAGTGGATCTCGGTGGAAAACAGAGCGAGCATTTGGAAACGCCAGACAGGGAACACAAGCAAGAAAAAGCAGGGATTGCGAGAACTTAGGAAAAAATTGATGATACCTTTAACTGCCTGCAATCGTTTTTGGAGCGGGATTTCCCCACATGAGTATAACTCTGATGCATAACCCACCAGGTGATGGAACTATCAGTTTGGAGCATTGTGTTTTTGGTTAAATCGCCTGGGTATACACCGATCACCGGAAAAAGTCAGTGAGGAGATTGTAGAATACCTGGAGAGCAATCCAACTGACACAGAAGGCTTTCCTTTAGAACTATATGCAGGCGTGCCTTGGTCACAGTACTTGCAGTCAATGGCAACAGATGGTACCTATGATGACCAAATAACTTTACAAGCGGCAGCAGACTTGTATAACATTGAAGTTTTAGTTGTTTCAACTCTGGGGCATAATGCCACCATGCTGATTTCTCCATCTACGGGCATAACTTATGCGAGAGTGCAGCTGGGACACTCTTTGGAGCAGCACGGAGAACATTATATTTGTGTCGCAGGTGGGACTTTAGTTTCGGAGGAAGAGCCACACCTGGCAGAAAGTTATAAATGTAACCAAGTAAAGGTGGTGATTCATTAAATTCCCAAGAGCCAGAGGTGGTGTCCGCGAAACGCAGAGAAGTGGCATCAGCAGTGCCTACAGACAAATCCCCTGTACCAGTGGAGATCGGTTTTGTTGGAGATGACAGTGTCAGGATGGTCAATCACTTCGACAATTTGACCTGTCACATGGATAGGCTTCCAAATGAAATTCTAACCATAATCATTTATCAGGTCTTAATTTCTTCAAACTTTTCGTGGCCAAACCACAGATGCCACGTTTATAATCAACTATGCAACGTTAATACTGGATTTGTTTCCAGATATAACCCAAAAAAAAAATCTAATTTGAAGGTTCTGCCGAATTAAGGCAAATAATTAAATAAAAGTTTCTCTCATCCTCGGTGTTTGCAGGAAAAGCCAGCATCAAAAAAAAAAAAAAGCAAAAAAAAATGTTTGGGCCTTCAAGCCGTGTTATGCTTGAATTAAGGCAAATAATTTCAAATAAAAAGTGGGTCAATGCTTGGCTCATCCTGCGTTATATAGGTCTTGGATGGTTCTTCATCATGGACATATATTGGCGAAACAATTAAGTAGGATACTAACCTACATAGAAGCTGGAAATTGAACATAAACGTTTGAGACTCGTATGTTTTGTTAGTATCATTGTACTGTAAAAAATATTTGCTTTTCATGTTTGCATTTTCATTAAATTTTGTTGTGTTAGCAGGGCCATACTTTGCGATGTTCCATTTTCTCAAAGGCCGCTATTGTTCTTTAGTTGTCAATCAAATCTATTGTTCTAGATTCGGAAACAGTCGGAAATATGTCAATGAGGGGTGACATCATGTAGTACGAAGATATTTGTTGAGTTAGTATATAAGAGTAGCAAGTGTCCTTATATATGCAACAAAGACAGACAAGACAGACAAATGGGACAGAATTTCTGTCCCCTCATTACGCATGCAAAGTGCGCAGGACGCATGCGCAGTAGAAAAATTGTGTTAAAACGTTATTAAACATAGTGGAATCAACTGAGGCTTGAACGTGTGACCTTGGGATCAACAAAAGTGGCGCCCGTACTCTCAGTAGCACTAGCTCTACCCACCAGACTACCGATTTCCCGCACGATTGAATGAGGAAAAATAAAGGAGTCACTCATTTTTAAAAGCTGAAACAAATGTTTTATTAAATTACAAAGAGGGTTTCCTACACAGGAACATGTAAACTTCGTTTAAAAGTATCATTGAGTTCAAGTGAAGCATTGAGAAAGTCATAAATTTTCTTTACACCGACAATGGCAGTTCTTGGTAGAAAGGTCAGCAAAGCAAATTGTTCATCGGACATTTGATCACAGGCGTAGAATAAATCTTTATCTTGTCTGTACCAGAACCAAATCTTTTTTACCACATCATTAACATATAGGATTTTCTTCAACAATTTAGCCATTTCCACGGCCCAGCCAGTTCCTCCAAAGCACATCATACTTTCGGGATGAAATATTGTAAACGACGTCACCATTTTGGCTTGTTTCACCACATGATAGTTTCAGTGAATATATTGCAAACTTATAGGATTTAGCAGATGTTTGTTGAGACGAGCAGCCACTTGATTTGTGATGGGAATCGCTGGTGGCGCACTTGGTGTCAATTTCGAAGCTGAAAGGTGAGCAAGAGACCCTGGTTTAGCTGTGCAAGTCCTAATTCCACCTTGTCATCCACAAAGCAAAACATTTCCTTCATTAACTTCTACTCAACTCGTCAAAGCGATAATTGTGGTAAAAGAATGTAGTTTCAACATGATGTTCCATCTGTCTTGATCAAGCGTCATTCCAATTTATAGAGTGTTCCTTGCCTGAACATGTGGCGAGTGATGTCATCGCCTAAACATGTTCATGTCCCTTGGGACATACTTTTTGGACCAAAGATTCTGTAATAAGCAATGAAGCGTTGTGACAAATCCTCAAAATAGTTCTGTTCAGTTCATAGTTTATAATTCAGTTGATCAAAGGTCATATCACGATTAGAGAGACCTATTAGTAGAGCTTGAATAAATTCCTCGTAAGATGAAAACTCAGTTGGTTTGATGCATTGCAGAAGCTGGTCCATGTTGATACAGTGTGTCGTATCCTTCTCTTTCTTGTAATTTCTCCCGTAAACTTTGCAGTTGCTCTTTTAATCTGTCAATCTTCTGCAGCAGTTCAGCACAAAGGAGAAGAGCTCTACTAGCAATGTTGATCCAATCGGCCTCACTCATGTTTTCCATGAAATAAACGGATGCTCTCTCTTATATCTGTGCGTCATGCTCTATTGACTCATCCATTTTGATATATTTTCCTGCCAGACCATCCTGTTTCTTTTTAAAAAACAAGTTGATTACCACAGGACTGTCGTCATTCAGTTGAACCTTGGACCTATTCCATTCTGTTAATGGGACTTCACAATATCAAGCAGTTGACCACGCAATGTATAAAATTTCAACGGGTTACACCCGATTAACGTTTTCTCATTATTACAGGCTACAGCTTTCTTCAGTTCATTGGTTCCATGTTGGCTTTTTGTTAAATTGCAATACGCGAAAAGAGGTCGAGTCTTATCTTGACCATGATCCCTGGGTGTTTTGGAAGCAGTTTTGATCCCCGTACTCTCTGTCGTAGTTTTGGTTGTTGAGTGTGATGAATGAGCAATGGGGTGATCATCATAAACATCAGGTACATGATTGACATGACCTTTTACTCCATAGACCACAAGAAATGTATTACCTTTCAACTGATCTGGATACGAAGAGGGAAGTGGAAATCTAATGTCGATTGGACATTGAGATAAGCCCGTGACTGACTTTGTGAATTGGACAGTGCGTGTATGATAGTAAATTAAATGGGTCTTGCTGTACTCATGGGTATGTTTGGATACTGTTAAATTTCCAATCTCCAATCCAGTGCCAACCGTGGAAAATTGAGAATGATTAAACAACCATTCATCTTTCCGATACCATTCCATTGCAATGGTATAAGTGTTGCCTTTCGTTAATAATAAACACCTTTCGACACACCATCTACGATATTGACTCCTTCCAACAGCCTAACACTCAGAGTTTTTGTATTCCAATAATGAGGAGACACAGGGAATTCCACAATGGAATCGTCCAACTGTAAACCAGAACTCATTCGCCATAGCAAAATACCTGTCATCCATTGTTTGAAAACATTGGTTTGTGTTTTAGGAGTCTCAAAGACATGTGTGGTTGCTTGTTTGAATTCTTCACTTAATTTAAAAAATCTCCACCTAAATGTAAAGGAAAGATACAGTAATCCATCTACCACATGAATGGGTTTTGTACAAGTACATTTTGCCTTGAGACATGTCGCAGGATCAGGTTTGACAGAGTTTTTCCATAGGGAAGTTCTACGAGTAAATTGGGGCCCACTTCGTACACATTGCTTGATTTTTCCACCACCCAACCCATACTTTTGGCCAACATCAGATTGACAGCAAAATAGGAGACATTTTTTCTGTTCATACTTCCTGTATTGTAATGGCGTAACAGCCAAGTAGTGTTATCTTGAGCTTGGATGTCCACTCATCTGCATATTGATGTCCAGTAGGTAGTTTCTTGATTAGATCTTGATTCATCCAATGAAACACTTTTTAAAAAATTCAAACCCTGTGTTGG